AGGGCATCCTTGTCTGGTTCCTGTTCTCAAGGGGAATGCTTTCAGAGTCTCTCCATTTAGGATGATGTTGGCTGTTGGTTTTGTATAAATTCCCTTAATTATACTGAGGAATTTCCCTTCTATTCCTAGTTTATTGAGAGTTTTTATCATGAATAGGTGTTGGACTTTGTCAAATGCCTTTTCTGCATCGATTGAGAAGATCATGCAATTCTTGTCTTTTGTTTTATTTATGTGATGGATTACATTGATTGTTTTTTTAATGTTGAACCATCTCTGCATACCTGGTATAAATCTCACTTGGTCATGGTGAATCATTTTTTTGATGTGTTGCTGAATTCTATTGGCTAAAATTCTGTTGAGGATTTTTGCGTCAATGTTCGTGAGGGATATCGGTCTGTAATTTTCTATTTTTGCGGTGTCTTTCCCTGGTTTTGGTATCAGGGTTCTGCTGGCTTCATAGAATGAGTTTGGGAGTATCCATCCTTTTCTATGCTCTGAAATACCTTTAGTAGTAGTTGTGTAAACTCTTCTCTGAAAATTTGGTAGAATTCTCCAGTGAAACTGTGAGAGCAGGACCTTTTTTTGTTGGGAGTTTCTTAATTACCTTTTCAATCTCTTCTTTTGTTATAGGTTTATTTAGTTCTACCTCTGTTCGTGTTAGTTTAAGTAGGTAGTGTGTTTCTAGAAATTTGTCCATTTTCTCTACATTTTCAAATTTGTTAGTAGTTTTTCATAGTATTCTGTTACGATTCTTTCGATTTCAGTTGCGTCTGTTGTAATATTGCCCATCTCATTTCTTATTTAGGTTATTTTTTTCCTCTCCCGTTTTTCTTTTGTCAGTTTGGCCAGTGGTTTATTAATTTTGTTGATCTTTTCAAAGAACCAGCTTTTTGGTTTGCTTAACTCTTTCAACTGTTTTTCTATTTCATTTAATTGTGCTCTAATTTTTATTATTTGCTTTCCTCTGGTGCCAGAGGGCTTCTTTTGCTGCTCTCTTTCTATTTGTTCAAGTTGTGGAGTTAATGTTTTGATTTTGGCCCTTTATTCTTTTTGGATATGTACATTGATTGCTATAAATTGACCTCTGAGCGCTGCTTTTTCTGTGTCCCAAAGGTTCTGGTAGGATGTGTTT